AGTGGAACAGCTTGCCTCCAGAAGTTGTGTGTTCATCACTGGAGGTTTTTAAGAAGAGACTGGACAGCTACTTATCTCAAATTGTATAGGATCTCCTGTTTGAGCAGGGGGTTGGATTCAAAGACCTCCAAGGTCCCATCAAGGACCATTTTGATTGAGTTCAACAGTGGAATTAATTCCCCAGAAATTTCCTTTCCTGGATGTACCAAAGGTGCTTTTTCAAGAGGCAACTGGACTTTTTGGTTTTTCTTTGAAGTCGTTTCACTTCTCATCCAAGAAGAAGCTTCTTCATCTCTGACTAGATGGTGGAGAATGGAAAGATTTATACTCCTTGCAGACAGCTGCTCATTTGCATTTTTTTAGTGAGTTGTTAAGGTCACCTGGAGGTTTATCTGTGTCATCAGGGTCACCTGAGTGGTGCAAATGGGTGTGGAGCCTTCTTGGAACTGTTGAAAGGACTGTGTTGTAGATTGGAGGTAGATATCTCTCTCCCTCTGTGAACTTTATGACACTGTAAAAGAATGCAAATGACCAGCTATCTGCAAGGAGTATAACTCCTTCCATTTCCCACCATCCAGTCAGAGCCGAAGTAGCTTCTTGGATAAGAGGTCAAACATCTTCAAAGAAAAACCAGAAAGTCCAGTTGCCTCTTGAAAAAGCACCTTAGGGCTACCATGACCTGGATGACTGAGAACCTCCACAGACATTTCCTGGATGTAATGAAATGGAAAGTAGAGAGAGCCAGTTATCTGGGTTTAAAAAAAACAAACCCTTGGATTTCTATTCACCCCATGAGATTGCAGATGATGGTTTAAATACTTTCTTCCAACCCTATTATTCTATGAAATCATATTCCACCATTAAGATGGCAGGGATGTCTTGAATTATTTTACCTAACCTAAATATGTGGTATAGGAAGAAATTGTGGTAACATTGCTCTCTCTTGTTTTGAGTTCCTTGGCAGTAAGGTTGAATATGCTGTTATATATGACTGTTGTCCACATTCAGAAAGTCATAAAAATTCCAGATATGTGGCTGTTTTGCTCCTAGAGTTGCCTTTTTTCCTCCCAAATCAGAAAATCTTTGATGATCAAAATTTAGCCAATTTCAAGGTCCAGCTTTTTTTATTCAGATTGGACAAAATGAAGAACGTTGATTAATTGAAGTTTTTCTATTGGTGCAAATCTTAGTTTAGTTTTAATATATTAAAAGCTGTTTAAAGTAAACATTAAATTGCTTATTGTTTAAATTCACTCTATCATCTGTCTGTCTGTCTGTCTGTCTGTCTATCTATCTATCTATCTATCTATCTATCTATCCATCTATCTATCTATCATCTAAGACAATGGAATTTGTAATAGGGATAAAATGTCTCCTCCTGTCTATCATAATCCACTGAACAAGACACTGGAATAGCTTTCCATTTATTTAGAGTAAAATAGATCACACAAAGTCACTGGGAGTCAGGCAACATAAAAATTATTATTAGAAAGCAGAAAAGTGAAGAAACCAAGTTATAGAGGCACATACCATAATTGTATGTGTTTGAAGTTTTTTGCATTTCCCTCCACCCTGAGATTCTTCAAATATTTACATGGGAGCCTTTTCTAATCTTATCTGGATACTGTATGTCAAGGATAAGAGCTGCAGTGGCACAGTGGTTGGAATGCAGTACTGCAGACTACCTGCTGACTGCCAACTGACTGCAATGTGGCAGTTCGAATCACACCAGGCTCAAGATTAACTCAGCCTTCCACCCTTCCAAGGTGGGTAAAATGAGGACCCAGATTGTTGGGGGCAATATGCTGACTCTGTAAACCACTTAGGACTGTAAAGCACTGTGAAGTGGTATATAAGTCTAAGTGCTATTGCTATTAATCTTTTGACTGGCTCTGAACTACATTCCTGTTTTTAAAAAAACATTCTACAAAACAGGAACTGTCCAAGGCATAAGACAAGTGGAAACATAAGCACCAGGCAAGTGTTGTATGAAATAGAGTTGCTGTTGTTGGTTTTCCTTATTGGTTCTGGGATAATCTGACCAATAATTAATATTTACTAGTATCAGTGTGCAAGTTTCAATTATTGCTCCAAAGTTACAAACTCTCAGCGGGATATACTACAAGTCACCCCCCCCCTTCAGTAAAGCAATTGGTAGGATATTATACAAAGCTATATACACATTATATAGAGAGGAATTATTAGCTTGAGGCATCTAAGCTGTGAGTCAGGCTAGTGATGATTTGTCACAGATACCGAAGGATCAAATGTTCCTGGAATTGAGAACAGCACTTCAAGTGATATTATGAATGACTAACTTGTGGCAAGCAAGGTAATGCTGAAGGTAATCATATATTTTATTCTCCATTAAAAAGCCACTGTATACAGTTAGCTGAATCTATTGTTAAAGCTTTTCTGGAATAGATCTTTCTATCCTGATAGCAGGAATGACTTCATAGTTGCAAAGCATGAAATAAACAAATACAATGTCACGTGATGTGATGATAGCTATTGTTTTAGGAATTAATTCATGGGGCTATAAAACTGCTGTAGCACTATGGCACTAAAAATGGGGGGAAACAACAGAATGACACTGTCTTTTTCGTTATGCTTGTGGTAGAACCTCAATGGACCACGTTTGTATCCAGCACAATTTTCTTCTGTTCATATAGCAAAAGAAGAATTGTTTCTACAGGATATGTTTCTACAGGAACTATAAAATGCAGGAGTTACTGTAGATGAACAGTTGGTTATAACTATAAGAATATAAACTCCAGGACAGCTCCATATTTTTGCTTAGTTTTGCATTGGTTCCACTGTACAAATATTATATTGGAGAAATATTGTATCTGGAAAAAGGGTTTGGGTGATTACAGGAAGTCTTCAAAATGTTCTGATTAATTTGGAATCCAAGCTGTTGTCTTGAAATTTGGGAATTCAAATGCTGTTTTTCAGCCAGCCTGTTCACTCATCTGGACCCATGGTTCAGTCAGGGGAAAATGTTGCAAACGAGTTCTCTAATTCCAATTAGCATTATCATTGGTAAATTACAAGATCTCAGAAATACACATAACACAATAGAAAAGAACAATCTAAATATAGCTTGAAAAACTAAACATACAAATTAAAACAAAAACAAAAACAGAATAATATGTTGGCAAGTGAACCATATCACTTATATGAATTACATATTACAGTATCTGGGTAAAATGCTAGATTATACATTTGCTCCAGTTAAGTAGGCATCTATGGGAGACAAATCCCAAGCAAAGAGTCTTAATTAATAGGTCTAACTTTGATTAAGCCAGCTTCCTATATTTAAAACTATTTTATCTCAATAAAACCAGTGTCATATTTTTTGTTGTTATGGATCTGTATAAAACTTGGCTTTTAAGCTTATATAAGAAGAGAAGTTGGAGAGGAGAAGGGAGAGAAGGAGGAAGGATGGAAGGATGGAAGGACATCCATACATTAAATCCTCCAGGCTATACAGTTTTATCTGGATAGTTTGGTCTATATTATAATAATTGTTTTTGCAATGGCTAAATTTTTGCATCAAGAACAATGTAAGAGTTGTTTGGTTCAAGCATTTAAATGGATGTTAGTATCATGAACAGTGATTTAGAGTACAAAGAGATTTGCTATTCTTTTTAAACAATATATTTTATGATTCATCATTTGGACATTATATCTCAGCCTATTTTTATCATAAATAAAAGCAAATTGGACAGAGGAGGAAGAAGAAAAGGATAAAATTGCCTAGAGATTTCTGATGACTCCTGGAACAGAATAAAAGCCAATTTTTATACAGATGCATAACAACAATTAATAGGATACTGCTTATGATTCTATGCTCTATAGTCTATGAAAACAGAGTTGGCTTGTTATTACAGAGGTAGTTGTGGAGCATTAGAATCTCTTTAATTGTAATGACCCAGGATCTTTTCAGAAAATTAGTATTGAAAGATAAGGGACATATTTTCTCTAATTGTTATTTTTGAATGAAATCATTGCCTGATTAATCTACTATTCTGCATTATGACTGAAATGATTCCTAACTAAGAAGGTTTGTTAAACCTCTGTGGCTATGATCCAAGTTATGAAAGGCATACCACTTGCACACTACTGCTATTCATTTCAGTAAAGACACCTTTTTCGATTCTAGAGAAATGGCTGTGGCTGGCATAAAATATTTTTGTTAGAGATTCCTTGAGTTGGGAAGGAGAGACTGTACCCTGTGTTGGACCCTGATGTTTGCTGTCTTTCATAACTTTTTAAGTCCTTTTACCAGTACAAACATTCCAGTGTGTGTATGTGTGTGTGTCTACAGCAACTTGTTTATTGGCCATTAATAAGCAACATGATAGCCAGAGGGTAACTGTGGTCAAATGGGCAGAGTGTTTCATCAAAATCTATTTGCCTGTCACTTTTCTCTTCAACAAACTTCAAGTCCCCTATTATAAAAACATCAGTGGGAGTCTGTAACCATGTTCCACTGCAAAAAAAGAAAGACACATTTGCCATTTTTGCAGCAAATCTAAGATGACCCCTGCATACTAAATAAAAAATATTTGACAAAGCAATAAGTCTTTCTTTCAGATAAATCTAGTAAACCTTCTGGGTCTCATATTATCCATAGTTATTGATCCTGAGTTGAAATAACAGTGAAAGTTACATAGGTTCAAGCTTTAGTCTTTTTTTCCCCACAAAGTGGGTTGAATATTACATTTTGGGTAAGATTCCTCAGAAAAGAAACAGTGGCAGATTTCATGGTTATAGAAGGAAAGCCAAGCATCTTTGTAATCCTAGCAACTGCATAGGTCTATCTACTATATATACAAATTTCCCCTAAACTTTCTCTTGGAATTTTGTAGAATTTTCAGTGTGGAACTGCCTGCTTCCTCTCGTTCTCTTTTTTATCTCAAGTTCATTATGCCCATTCTTTAAGCTTTGTCACTTCCACTGCATCCTCTGATTCATTCCAATATTTTCTTTTTCAGATGCTCTACGTGATTGACGCAATTGGCACAACACTTCCTTCCCACAGCGAACATTGGCAACAAGCATAGATTTTTCAGGGGACAAATCCATTCATGTCCTTAGAAGGTAAATGTAATTTGCATTTATGTCATTTTCTTCCCCTTATTTACCCCAGCTCAGATGCTTAGTTCTTAATGATGTACTCATCTGCCAATTCCCGCTTTTTGTCAAGAGGATGAAAGAAGCTTGCTCCTTAGATTTAGATCTAGGTTTTTGCCCTCTTTAGGCTGCACTACATGCTGAGTGCATTACAAATGTAGTTTGTAGGAAAGAAAGGAACCTATTGACATAACACTTGTGCTAGTCTTTGTCAGTATGCAAGCAGGTTCAGGAAAAAACGAAAGCATCCCAATCAATTCCTAAAATGAGTTCTAGATATTGCTGGCATCTGGGTTGAACAAGCCAGTACATATTACTGAATGAAAGATACTTCAGCAGGTTAGATTCCTTGGGCAAGTCCTGGTAGTTCATTCTGAATTGTCATATTGTGACATGCTTTTGAATGGAAAACTTAATGTACATTCAAGGCAGTTTATATCATACATTGCTTCCATATTTTTGGAGGGGGAACTTGATGCCTGTCTTTGATAGTCATTTGTGCAACAATAATTTGGCATGTCTGTTTTTTTTATGGAAAATTGTACTGAACCTTCAGTGAATAACTATAGTCAGTGGTTTCTGTGAAAGTAAAAGGCAAGGCTCCAAGCTGATAGCAATCTAGTTTCTATTATCCTTAAGACTGCATATATTGTCTTAAATCTCCCAATATATCTCCTAATTAAGAGGCTATGGAATAGCTATTTATGCCTTGCATCAACAAGCTGGCAGCAGCTCTAACTTTTCAAATCACTGGTTCTAAAAAAAGGAAGAGAAGCAGTCATAGTCCTGCAGTGAATAAAGAAAAAAGTTCACTCTGAAAATAGGGACTACATTGTCTTCCTTCATCATCACAGCTTCATTGTTATGGTTACAAAATCTTTTCCAAGCTGGAATACAACTCCGGAGCAACAATAGCAGTAAATGGGCCAGAACAGCAAAAGTCATGATAGACATTTCTACGGACTGTCAAAACTGTGGCTTGATGTCATGCCAGGCCTATGGCTCAGACTTTGGGAGATGGGCCAATGATCCGAAGTGTCTTCAAACCAAAGCCCTTCTTGAGGAAGAAACAATTTGATGATGCCATCCTATAATGATCTGTATAACATTACATACTAGGTTTCCTATTTCCTCCTGTTGCTTCGCAACACAGATCCCTCAAATTCTAATGGAATTGATATTGAACAAGGACATCAGAATAGTTTCAATTCTCATTCTGTCCCGGTGACTGGCTGTTAACTGTTAAAAAAGAACAACCTAGTAACACGCTCTTAAAGCATTTAATATTGTTCAGCTGCATGGAAGCGCATCTGTGCATTTTTATACTTATTTTATTTCTGCGCTATTAAGCTTCATGGTTAAGCTTCACTGTTTCTGCAAATGTCATCTGCTCTTGCTCTCTACTCTTTCCTTGAGAAAGCACTGCAGTGTGGAATCAGAGTGGATATTTCATCCATCCATTTCAATTGATTCTTGCTACCATACTTTCTGGTTTTTAGTTCATGCAAACGTCCAATTTCCCCTGTCACCTGGTGCCACAAAATCCATTCCCCTTAGAAGCAATTTACGGGGGAGCGGGTTAATGAACTAATTTCATCAGCCACAAAGGTGAGGCATTTCAACATATGTTATGTCATTTTATACATTTTCTCAGGCAGAGGATGTTAACTTTCTAATTATAGTGGTTATTTTCTTTAGGGACTTGTCTCGGTGCAAATGATTGAAGCAGGCAGCGTTTCATTGTAGGCTGCAATTTTGATTTGTTCTGGTTTGAAGTTTGTCCTTGGAAGTTTCAAAAGATCATTTAAAGCAGAAGAACGCAGAATACAGAAGTATAGGAATGGAAGAGACCTCAAAAGTCTTCCAGTCCAATCCCCAGCTCAAGGCAGGAGACTGTGTGCCATTCCAGTCAAATGGTTGTCCAGTCTATTTTTTAAAACCTCCAGTAATGGAGCACTCACAACTCCAGGGGGACAAGCTATTTCATTGAATAATTTTTCTCACTGTCAGAAACTTTCTCCTTCCTTCTAAGTTGGATCTCTCTTTAACAATCTTCCATTCTTTACTTCTTGTCCTGCCCACTGGTGCTTTGGAGAATAAATCAGTCCTCTGTGACAGCCCCTCAAATACTGAAAGACAGCTATAATGTCCCCCCTAATCCCTCTGTTTAATAAGCTAGAACAGCCATTCATCCATTCATCATCATAATTTCACTTTCGTATCAGTTCTGTCAGCCTCATTTCTGCAACCTCAGAAAAAAAAACAAAATATGTATTGAGACATAGGGAATTGCCATCCATTTTTTTCTGAGTTGTCTTTGGTTTAATGTCTCACTAATTTTTCTGACTTGATTTGAAGTAAGGAAGAGAGAAGAATCACTATTGATATGGAAAGATTTAACTTGAAAGTTGTGGTGCAAATAGTGCTGTTTTTTCTGCAAATTCATGAACACGGTTAAAAGAATCCAACTAATATGAATTATGCTGTTAATCGATGTACAGGTATAGTAGCTTGATTAATTAATACCTAAGCCATGTTGTGCTTTCACTGGCTTGTGGATAAGAAAATTAAAATACATTATGAAACATTTGTCCTTTCTTAAATCTTTCATTTTAAATAGCCTGTTCTGATTTTTGCAGCATGACAGAGGTAATGAATACACGTGAACCTGTGATGGAAGAATTTACTTTGAGCCAACCTGAGGAAGAAGGAGGCACTTCCACTCAGGTAAGTGTATGTATGCAAATTGAATACAAAGCTACAAGTCAGACAAAACCACATCTTCAAACTGTCAGAACAATTTAGCTTCTTAGAATGAGACAGCACAAGATCATAGTATATAAAAATTGAAAACTGTATATTTTAATCTGAAGTGCAAGAAGGATTATAAGCTAGGTTTTGTTAATGACTATCATTTTAGTGAAGCTGGGAACTAAATTCCTTTTGAATATAATGGAAGGTGACAGTGTTTCACAAAACACAGTACTATCAAAGTTGCTTACTGAAACCCATTAGGTTTTACATCAGTGAATCAAGTGACATATTTTAAAAAGTAGATTCAAGATCAAGGTACTAGACAGACAACATCTAGAATGTAGAAACCCATGAACAGCTACATGATTTGGAGTACCACTGGAAAATGGCGATACATACTAATCAAACAAGATTGCCTTTTTGATAATTTATCTCTATCTCTCTATGTAAGGGATGGGTAACCTTACAGTAAATTGTACTTCATTTTTGGGAAAACTATAGATGAGAAGTTGGGTGGGATTATGTAATACATGTGGGCAGATCAGGATGTTCTAATTTTCCCTATCTAGGAGGCGATGTTCATGTGCTTCCAACTTTAATAGGGCCAAAGATTTAAATGCAACTTTTGACAATTAAAGAATTTTCTTATTTACATTCAATGCAATGCTCAGTATGGAAATACTGATCTCCTTTTGACTAAATGCCATTCTCTTTTATGTAACTTGGAACACAAAGTCCCCATAGATTCAAGATCCATTCTAAGGTTCTATAACATATTTTCCAGCAGAATATAGTTATGAATGAAGAAATTAGACCCACTACATCATATACCATACTTAAAACAAGTAAAGCAATAATGAGGGAAATGGTAGTCTATAATGAACATAACAGTGTTATTTTTCCAACTTGGCTCAGAGGTTGCTGGGGTGACATCCTGTTTTTGCTCAGTCTAATGAAAATAAGGCAATCCACTTTGCACTGTATTTTCCTAATATGTTTATATGTGACCCTTCAAAACCAAATTTTCACAGAGTAGCTTACAATGCACTGAAATAAAAAAATAAAATTGTGAACAATAATTAGAATATTGTACATAAGAGTAAATATATTTAAAATAAACACTAATATGCATTGTGTCAATTGTGTATCAATCTGAGATTTTATATTTGCAATGATTTATAACAACATGACTTTGCCACAATTACTGTATTTCAGAGTAATATTTTTGCACAGTGTATTTTTGGAGAAGTGGCTTTTCGTTATAAATATGTATCTTTAGGGATGGCCTTGGGCAGAATCAGTTGTTATGTAAATCTAGCCTACTTCAGGCTACAATTCTAAAATACCCACTCAGGACATTTGAAATTGGATAGCTTATATAACAAATTTACCTCTTCCTCTTTGTGGGATGTTTATGATTTAATGGAAAAAGTGTGTGGAGATATTGAAAATTGACAAATAAAATAGACATCTGGATTTCTCCCTGCATAATTACACAAATGTGATAAGTTGACTGTATAAGAAAAGTACAGTCTAGAAGTACCCATAATTTGGGAATCTCCCTAAGTTTTGTGAATTTTCTTTGCAAGTTCTAGTGTATGTCTGATGTATTATCTATTCTTCAGTCACATACAATGTATAAGATTAAATAAAGATGAAATAATCTAAGGATTTGATAAAAGGCAAAAAATAAGTTAAAATAAGGATATGGCAGGGAATCAGTTTGGCCATTTTTATTGGAAAATTGGGAGATCTGCCTTGGGCAACTATTACTGATAAGAAAAATATTAATTAATGTATATCATAGCATTGATAACAATTCCACGTCTCCGTACATGTTACATGAATTCTTTTTTACTTTTTTTCTATGTTCACATTTGTTAAAATAAATGTTAGAAATAAGAGTATTGTTGATATTTACTGGTAATTCCATGAAGACCTACTAACTAGGAGATCTCAGGAGGCTTACAGCAAACATTTATTCTTCCATTGCATGCTAAACATCCTATAGTAGTAAGAGATAGTAAGGAAGATGTATTTGATGAAAACAATCAGAAGGCTTTGAGATTTACATTACAGTTTTCTGACATTTCCTTAAGCTTTTTTTAACTCAGTAATTACCAGTAAATCTAAATATCTACAAAATGTCTTCTAATACTTCCAACAATGGGACTTATATATCAACAGATGTATTATCTTTACAACTGTTCTCATTAAAGTATATGAGGTTATAAAGGTGTCATGCAACCCTTAAAAATAACAACAGGCTAATCTGAATAGTTCTCTCAAAATTTCTCATTTTCCCCATCCTAAATTATTTTCTACATTAGTTGGTAAATTTGGCAAAAAAAAAATCATGGAAACCCATACCCATTTCTTAGTACGTTTTCCTAATATACATATTTTTGTCTAAGGTTTTTCCTTCCATATACCTTTTTGAAAGGTATATTTCATCCTTAAAATACTTCGTTTCTGTTCATTCTTCCTCAATATATACATTTTTACACGCATTCCTATTAAGAATAATTCTTGTTATGATGTGGTATATTAAGTTTTCTATAGTCATTTTATACCTGGGTGACTGAGAATTTTAGTCACAGCTTTAAATCTGGTGGTTAGACCGACCACATGTTTACACTGGCATGAATTTTAAAAATGCTTGATAAGTTTTCAAATGCAGCAAATGAGGCACCCTCTGTGGATTAATGTGCACTCTCCAGATTGACCAATGAAGATGACAACAAGAAACAGAAAAAAAAGTAGACAGTGAAGTTCAGTGATTGAACAATTTTAAGACCCCATGCCAGAGACCAAACGCCTGTTTGGCCATTTGTGCTTCCATTTGTAGTTACTTCAAGGGCTCATATATGCCTCATTCCTATCTATGTATTATAATTTCTGCTACTTCCCATTCAAAATGAAAAAGGTCTTCAGCAGTCTTGACATAAGTCTCAGATTAAAAATCAGGCTTGTCAGATTCTACATCTTTTCTATCCTGCTCTATGGAGTGGTGAGTTGGTCTCTGACAAAAAGCCACTTGAAAGGACTAGAAGTAATGTGAAATGTGGATTTATAGGCAGCTGTTATGTATAAATTGGATTGACAAAATCAGAAATGAGGAGGTGATATGCCACCCGGGAAAGCCAAGGGAAGTCATCAAAACCTTGAAAAAGTGAAAGTATTTTGGACATGTGATGCGACACCCAGAAAAACACGGCATACTTCACTTAATCCTCCAAGGAAAGAGGGAAGGCAAATGAGGTCAAGGCAGAAGAGCATCATGGCTTCAAAATCTAAGGGACTGGTTTGGACAAAACTCAGCAGCACTTTTTCGTGCAGCTGCTGATAAAAAATAGGATTACTGACATGATCGCCAATGCCCGATGATGGATATGGCACAAGAAGAAGAAGAAGCCACTTCCCAGTAGTACAAACCATGGTGGTGCAGTGGTTAGAATGCACTATTGCAAGCTAATTCTGCATGTTAAAACAAAATGCCTGTCAGTCCTGCCTTGATTTGAACCTTAGGCAAGAATGATCCATGACTCCATTTTTGAGAGAAAGGTATCATTTTACTACAGTCAGGTGAAATATAGTAAAACAAAGCCAGGCCTGAGATTCCCATGCCAATTCCCTAGTGAAAATCCCTTGTTTCCCACATCTGCCTTCCATTGGTCTCCTTGTGTCCTATCGTATTCAAACCAGAGGTGGTATTCAGCAGGTTTTGACCAGTTCTGGAGAACTGGTAGCAGAATTTTTGAGTAGTTCGGAAAACCAGCAAATACCACCTCTGACTGGTGACTTTACAGTATCCTTCCCTTGCCACACCCACCAAGCCACGCCCACAGAAACAGTAGTAAAAAAATTTGAATCCCACCACTGACTCAAGCCGTAAGTTTTCAGAATGGTTGTCCTTGGAATTCAGCTGCATTCTTCTTTTTGGCCAAGTGTATCTCTGGCCAGCACACAGCAGTTTGGAGAGTCTCCCCCTTCCCTCCCCCCCCCAAACTCCCCACTCCAGAGTTTATGGCAGGTTATCACTGAGCAAGATGAAAGCAGGAGAGAAGTGGCAGATGCCTCATCATAGACATTTATTTTATTTTTAAGTAAACTATTTTTTAAATATTTTTTAAAATATATTTAAAAACCTCCATCCATGCTAAGGAACTGACAACTTGCCCTTATTAGGGACGTTAGCTAATCATTTCCTTGGGCTTTTTGAAATTAATTGAAAACCCATAAATATGTAGAAAATGTGCTCCCCTATTGCAAGTATTGGTAGAGTCTGTGCTGACTGGCAGTTGGTTCTGTATCTTTCTCTATCTGGCATCTAGCCTTTGAAATCCTCCATGTAAGGAGACTGAAACCAGATCTGGAGTCATTTATATGGAGATTGATCTGATGATACCTGTATTAAAAACCATCTTGTTCTCAAGTAACCATGCTCGTTAATATTTGCAGTATAACTGCTCTCGTGGTTTCATAACCATTGTAATTGGTTTGAGTTGAGGCTGTCAGCTGCACTCATGCCAGATGATTAAATATTGGATATTTGATATTTGTATTAAACAAATATTAACCATCAGAATGATAAGAGTGCAAATAGCAATATGTCACAATATTGTCCATTGTTTATAGCTGTGTCAATAAAGTACCAAAGGTGGGAGGTAAAGCTTCTTGGTTTGCCAGGACATATGCTGCACTATTTCTTATTTCTATTGCCCAATGACATTGTATCAGACTGGCAAATGTTTGAGCTAAGAGGCCACAGCAGGAGGCAATGCGTATTGAAAGCCTAACTTCTTGTTTTTGGGGGGTGATACCAAGGAACCCATCTGTATGTTGCCTTCCTATTCGGTCAGTTTCAAATATTCCATCATGTTCTTCCCTAGGCTAAAGGGAAGAAGTGTCTCTTGGTTTGACAGAAAACAATCTTTTAGTTGAATTCACCTTCAAAATGTTGCTTACCTTTAATTGGTTTTAATGTTCAGAATAGTTAAGATAACGAGTTTAAGGTGAAGTTTAAAGATAAATTGAGATAAATTGCATGATAAGAATTATTTCGGTAGCATTCCTTTCTGTCTTCCGGTGCATAAAATGGAAAATGCAAGTTCACAAGAAGCCCGAAGCAGATTATGAAGGGCACAGCAACTACCACCACCATTGCCCCATTATTTCCAGTGGAGAATTAATAATCAACAGGATGCCACTAAAAACAAAATTACTAGTTTGTAATATGGACGTGTCCATTTCCTCTAGAACTTTAGTTTAGCTTTCCTGGTTTATGAAAGTTATGTGTTGCAAGATTGTTCAAATTATTGCTATGGCATTTGATAGTTTTTCCTTTTTATAATCTTTAATGGCATTTTAAAACATTGAAACAGAGAACATCCATTTGCTCCTATAGATATTTTTTTTTATACATGTCATTACAACCTGATCATCGTGATGAAAACAGTCAAATTCTTCATTGTACTTCATAGGCTTTTCCAGATGCCCATGAAAAGTATCCAAAACTGTCGAAGAGATTACCATCCATTGTGGTAGAGCCATCTGAGATGGGGGATGTTGAAAGTGGAGAGCTTCGTTGGCCGCCAGAGGATCTGAAATCAATGGAAGACAAGAAGGCTCTTGCTGCACAGAGATCCTGTGCTCAGCAACACCAGATGGATCTTGAAAGTATGAACATTTTAATTAACTTTTACTGGGGAAACATGTTAAAAAGAGTGTGACATTGCTTGTACTGGCACACCATAATAATAATAAAAAATGTTGAACTAGTGTATTCTTATTCAAGAATACACCAGTTCAAGCATAGGGAGACCTGGTCTTCAAATCCCGTTAGATCAGCCTAGTTCATGTTAAATGACAAGGAATAAGTGTAAGCTAAACATCTGGCCACCAAGCTACCTGTTTTTTTTTGACAGAGCACCGTGATAGTCTCCTGGTCTCCTCCAAGACCGTGCACCCTTTCTGGTCTCCTCCAAGACCGTGCACCCTTTCCTCCTCCAGTTTAACCTTTCAGAAATTTCAGCTTCCATTTACAATTATTCCAACCAATTGTGTCATCTAGTATAATTATTTGAGATAAAGTAACTTCATATATCATGTGGCTTTAACAAACTGTGGTTAGGTTAATCATAATTTCTCTAACACAGGAACAATTGTTTCTCTCCAGGTGCTGCACCACACCAAGACATAGGAGATAGTACAAAATCCAGTGAAAGCAGAACTGAGGATGACTAAGGAACTTCATTCAACAAACTGAAGCTGTGGTGGGACCCTCATTGGAAAGCTGGCACATTCTGAAGGCTTGTCAACATGCTCTATTTTAAAACCATAGAAGGTTTTAATTTTAGTTCTATTATTAGGTTAGTACACGGCAAGAAATTTAGGGGCTTTAGAACTGCTTCTTTTCAGGCTGGAATTCATATAATTTCAATTTCCTTTGAGGAAAAACAGAGCACATTAGGTAGTTCTTCCTGGTTCCTTTTATTAATGCCACAAAGGAAAAAATAGAAGCAAAACTATTCATATCAAACACCAAAAAATTTTTTTAATCAATTGCAATTAGCACTTGTAAGTGAAATTGCCTCTTAAAGATAAAAGAGCTATCTGGTATTGATACCAAGACACAGGGTTTGTTTGCCATAGAATATATTAAATCAATTAAACCTCTCTTGTTTTAGCCATTTAAAACTAGCACTGTGATATTATGGATAATAGATGTAATATAATGTCACCTTCTAACTTTGTACCTTTTTTTGTATAGAAATGCAAGTTTCACTTTTAAATCTGGATTAAATGGAGAATTTAGGACTGCCTTTTTGTGATGCACAGCAAGGATCTTTACTTATCCCTTATCTCTTTTTCTGTGCAAATTCCAGTGAACCAGCCTTTTATTAGCACTGTATTTGAGAGAAAATGAGTTAACATTTAAGGAATTCTTTACCAGTGTACAAATACCTGTTCATTTTTTGTGAACCGTGTTAGTTTTGTGTAACTTCAGCCACCTTTTCTATTGTTTTTGCAAACAATTTGTGACCCAAATGCTAACCTGGTTTAACTGGGCTTGTTTCGAAAGGGAAAAAGAGAACGCTGCTTATGTCATGGCTGTTTTAGGACATTTCCAATGCATTTGTATATAGACTCTGCTGAAATGTTTATCTATAATTTTGGATCAAAGACTAGACAGAAATGGCCAGGACAGATGTAAGATGCATTTTCTATGTAATTAATGATGCCCCTCAGCCCATCTGCTTTATATGGTTTATTTAATCTATTGTAGGCTTTTGCACAGGGAGAGTCTTTAGTGGAACCTCACAGTAGCAGTGAATAGGGTAAATTGATATAGCAGTTATTCCCAAGAAAGCTTTCCAATGCTTTAACTTCGATGTGGTCACCAAAATACAGCCTCCAGAACTGGATAGAAGTCATGACAAAGTGATATGATAAAGCAAAGAGATATTTGTATGGTGTTAATTTCAAGATTAACTCTACTTGACTTGATTTTTGAATTTTGATGTCTTAGGGTGAGTTTTCACTATTTTAGCACAAAGAAAGTTTTCTTTCTGTAAGTAGTTACATTGAAATAAAGCTCACCAGGGAGATAAGATACTAAAGTACATTTTATGTGTATGTGGTAATAATCAAAGCTCAACCTATTAAAACAATATTGGAATGGGTGGGAATGATACATTTTCACTCATGACTGATATAAATAATCATTATTATTATGAGCATCAGCCTTAATGTGTTTGTACACCAGCTAAGGAAATTTGTAGAAGTATTCAATTTTTTAAATTTTGTTTTCTTAATATAGGAGTCCATGCTTTATTTTAAAAGTGTCTACCAATCTTAGATTAACAGATTGAAGTCTGTGTGGGCATAAAAAGTTCTAATAATTTCCCAAATTCTATTTGTTACTTTCAAACAAGATTTGTTATTTATTGAAACTAGCAAAACAGCAGCTATCCATATGCCATGCTTAACATTAGGAAAAAGCTAAAATCCTAAGCGGGAGAAAAATGTTCTCCATACAAAAATTACAAGGATACCTATAGGAAGGGAGTCAAAAAAAAAAGTCAAGATGGCAGCCGCAAACATGGAATTGAAGTGTCACCTGTGACACACATAAAAAAGAAGCAGGCTTTGATTGCAAGATTGTGGCAGCCATTTTGACTCTTTTGTTTATTTTATTTATTGGCCAAATTTATATGGCTGCCTATCTCAGAAGTGGCTCTGACATACAACAGTCAAACAAAACAATGATATAAAATTATAATAATAAAACTATAAACAACCATTATTAAAATATGATTAAAAATTAAAATATGTAGATCACAAAGTACAGAGAGAGTCTAAATATAAACCACAATAGGGGAGCCATCTTAGAATGTCACTGGTTTCCTGGAACCCCACACCTGGTGAGACAACTTCTGGAATATCAACATGATGGAAGACATGCAAAACAGATGCTCTACATTTTTTTTTTTAGATATGGAATCCTTATTGGTGAACCTTCTATCAGAGCTCACTGTGATCTCCTCATAGAAATCCTCCCCTTCCTCTATGTTGCTGCAATGAGTACTATATTATTCCAAAGAGCTTCACTCATAAATGCTAGGTAGTGGTGATTAAAGGAATAGAGTGTGTATGCCTGTGTGGTGTATTTGTGTGGGTGTGAATCACGTTATGAAAAGAAGGAGCTTTTTATACAAAATTAAGGATTGGTCTAGAAATATGTGTTTGTAGGAAATTACAGAGGTGGCCACAGAGAAGGAATGTGGCATTTAGCAAAACATGAATTTAGTCCCAGAAAGGAATAAAATGTTAGAAAGAAATGTAAACTAATTCTGCCTTAACTCTCTTTAGTATAAGAAAGGAAGGGAAAAACAATTTCAGCCTTTCAGGATTGATAGGTCAGGTCAGGAAACCGATACCACAAGAAATACTAGAATACTACTTGACTGGTATAGACTATAGTACAGTAGCCAGATCTTGAAAGCTTCTTCCTTTTCTGGACTTCATTCATGTTAACTAATTGAGATGTTCCTTTTCCAAAGTCATCTCTGCAGCTCTCACCAGCATAACAGGAAAGATTTTATAATAGCCTGTTCTTTAGAGGGATAAAGTAGCCTTTTGCTAAGTTAAAACCTGTGAAATTTTATAAGGGGAGCTCTATGTTTATGGAGTAAAACTGAAGCTTTATCTTCAGTTACTCTTCTCCACTTATTCACTCACCCTACTTCTTCTATGTCTCCCCACTTACAATGCTTGAAAAATAAAAATGAAAACAGGTACATATTCTCTCTTGTTCCATAAAACTGTCCTAAATGTATATCTACTATTTTTAAAAAGAGATAATTTAAATTTATTATAAACTTCCACTGTTATGATTGCTATTCACATCATATACCAGTCTCACTTCTAAAATGAGTAACAATTCCAAATTCTATTATAATGAATGAAACTGGTTGGGTTTGGTCCCAAAATGGGATTCGTAACCTTGAAATTTTCTTTTTAGGATCCTTTTCATTACATGAGAATCACTACCAGTATAATGAAAAATATTTTAATAAGATTGTTCTATATATATTATTAGTAATCAAATTTTAATAAATTTATTTAAAAACTTGAGCAATAGTCACAGTAAGGTGGAAGTATACAACTTTTTCTTAGACAAAGTAAGCAGTTTATGTAGAAAAGGTAATTCATTATTTTGGGCACCAGGTGGCTGGTACTGGTTCCATCATATAGGGTTAGAGAGGTTATGTCTCCAATATAGGACAAGGGAGTTAACCTGGTTTAATGATTAATACATTAAAGTAGAAACCAAGAGTTCCACCTTAGGCACAAAGCCACCATAGGCCAGTCACTCTCTCTCAGCCTTACCACTTCCAAAAAATCTTGCCAAGAAAACTGCAGGGATTTATCCGGGCAGTTACCAAGAACCAACATTGACTAGAAGGCATATAAATAAAATAAAATAATTAAAATGGATAGAATGTGTCCTGTTATGATGAACTTTATTTTTTTAAAAAAAAATGAAGTCATAACCTTGTCACCAAGTGAACTTTTTGTTGACTGACTTAAAGTTAGCCCACCTCAGCTCTAGTGAAAAATAAAATCAAACTTAGAAGACATAAACCCCATTCAGGTATCTAGCAATTCTCTCTTACAGCCTGCCAGGTGCCTTGAATACAAATTGTGCAAAATATGGTAACCAACGTCAGAAGGATGGAAGGCTGAATCAACTTTGAGCCTGACAAGATCAAACTGCTGGCAGTCAGCAGAATTAGCCTGCAATACTGCATTCTAACCACTACGCCACCTGCTCCTATCTGATCCTTAGCTCAAATTAGGTTGTGAGCATGGTATTTCCAAGAAAATCCAGCAAGGTTTCACTCAAACACTCTAATATATGTAGGAATATAACTTAATTCCAGTGGTTCTCAACAGGACTTAATGTAGTCTTGATAAAGAGCTGAATATATATTTCAGGATACTTTTCTTAAAAGCTGGATGACAATCCTCCAGCATTTTTCATCTGCCTCCTTTTATCTCCAAAGCCACCAGCATCATTTAGAGCCCACATTCAGGCTTTTGTGTATAGGCTCAGATTGCACTGTGCAGCTCTAAATGTCTTCAAGGTGACACAATTTATACGGAATGCTAGGATATAGGCTGATACAATTAAATTGAATGGTGAGACATTTGGCACAGCAGAAGGAAGCATTTCTTTGTACAGTGCATAGTTAAGCTGCAGACTGCATGACTCAAAAGATCTGGAAATGATGTTTAAAAAAGATTTTAAAAAGGAATTAGACAAATTCATGGAGAACAGGGTAATGAATGTTGACTAATCATGATGGCTATATAATCATCAGAATCCGAGGCAGAGCATTTTTCAATACCAGTTGCTTAAGAGCATATATGAGAGGGTAGTATTTTGTTCATGCCTTGATTGTGGATTAATCATAAACACCTCCATGGTTACTGTAGGAACATGCTTCTGATCAAGATAGACTGTTGGTTTGCTCCAGCTTTGCTTTTCTGATTGTATGCTAAATGTAAATGTTTTAATTACATTTTCTTAAGTAACATTTAATTTCAAGAGAGGTAAATTTTATAAATTAATGAGAAAGGAAAGTGAGAAAATGTATTCAATGGTGCATAGCCCCATATATGACATTATTTTATCTGTGTATAACAGTATTGTCCTGCCTACTAAACTTAATTGATTGTTTCTGTATTTCCTTTGTTTTGGATGAAATGCTTTGTAGGAAGAGGGAAACACTCAGAATAGTTGGTCATATTTTTGTAGACTATTAAAAACAAGATATGGATAAAGGTTTTATGGAATATAATATATTGTTGGATTCTGCACCTTTGAAACTTTGAGTTTTTTTTGTAAATGGCCATCTATGTATAAATTCCAATAATGCTATGTCTTGCAGATGTAATTAAATCAATTAAAAGCCTACATGGACCTAATTTGGTAAGCTATTATATCAAATATTTATTTTAAATTGTGTTTTCCAATTTAACAAGCAAAGCTTCCTCTACCCTCAAAAGTTATATTGGTGAAAATAAAAGAAACCTATAGCATTCCTGTAATAAAGGTCAGGGATGGAAAGCAGGTAGTTTAAATATATAGCCATATGCTATTTTCATTCAGTTCTGCCAGCAGATACTCTCCTAAAACATTTTTGACTGATGAGGAAAATATTTACAGCCCAACATGGATTATTTTTATAAAATAATACAGCTATAACAGTGAAAAACAAATGTTCTTGAAGATTAGACCATGGGAGATAAGAGAAGGTCATTACTTTTCAATTTGGAATGGCTCTTGTTACATGCAAATTTTATTTATTTATTGTTTGTTTGTTTGTTTTAAATTGATATGCTGTCCATTCCACTATCCAAAGCAACTTTGGTTAGACTAGATAAATTGGCAGACTAGATAAAATGTTGTTGAGTTCTACGTGCTTTCTTTTATTCCTGTAGAGTTTTTAAATGAAAGAACACAGCAGAAGTTTTAGAAAACCAGAGGAAGATTACAAGTGGAAATTATATTGTTTGCCCTTCCCCCACATTATTCTTCTTGAATGAGGCAGGGCAGTTTGAAACAAACATTTGATCTGGACTCCATCACAGAAACAGAAGGCCCACATAAATAATATGATTAATACAGAATTAGTGTTATTTTACTTGTTATTTCCAGGATTCAGGTAATGTATATGGCTGTATAGCATAAAAAATGACACTTTCTAGGCACAAGAAGGCAGTTTGGTGGAATCTCAGAAAGGAAGGAAAGAAGGAAGGGAGGGAAGGAGGGAGGGAGGGAGGGAGGGAGGAAGGAAGGAAGTTTTAAAAGATGGCAGATTCCAAATTATACTAATATGCTTTAAGACCACAGATGGACTATGTGAGGAGTAAAGAAGGAATCCAAAATACTGAAGTTGACAGAACTTACTTCAACGTTGGAAGAGTGGGAGGAACATTATCTTGTAAAGCCACTGATGAGGAATTCTGAGAATTGGGATTCAGCAGCAACTAGCCTCAAGGTCTTTATTCTTATATTAGGGTATAAATCTTCTCATAAAGTTCAAGTGATTGAGAAAGCTACTGTAAAATTAATTTAAGAAATAATAAGTGCCAGTGAATCCTAAAATAATATTGACAATCAACCTCAAAAATATTGAAATCCTTGGCAGTCCCACAAAAAAAGCCTGGGGTGTGTGGAATGGTTAAGGTTATGGGAAAAGAATTGGTGTTGCTCAGTGGCTTAACAGATGCTGGAGAAGATCTGTGCTCTGGTGATTTGTGACAGAGTGAGCTCTTATCACTTGTCTCAGCTCCTGCCAACCTAGCAATTGGAAAGCATGCAAAATACAAGTAGATTAATAGGTACCGCTTTGGTGAGAAGATAACAGCATTCCATGTTTCACTGTACTCTTTGTGCCACGGAGTGATGTTATGCTGACCACGTGACTGCTGAAACATCTTTGGACAGCACTGGGTCAATGGCTTAAAGAAACAGAGATGAAACACCATCACCTAAAGTCGGCTACAAATAACGGAGTAAAACTTGTAGGGATTCTTTTATCTTTTAGGGTTAGGGTAAAAGGTCCACCCTGTGAAAAAGATCCACACTGATTTTAAAATGCAGCAGGGGCATCACAGGGATGTCAAATAAGTAAAGATGGCCATTGTGATTGCACAAAGCCTGGCCCTTTTTCCAAAAGCCATGTCAACTAACCTGTCAATACACATGAAAAAAGGATGGGATATTGGATAGTCACTGGCACTATTTTAACCCTTTTGCCAGCCTCCCCTTGTCCTGGAGTACAAACAACTGGAAGAAAAAGATTTCAGCCATCTTCTCAATCTGCTTAGCACTGGCCCTGGAGACTCTGAAGAATTTTTGCTCTATATCTACTTTTGAAAGTTAAAAGGTACAAATGAATGTTTTCAAAAAATAATTTGAAAGGCAAAAGCCTAATCTTTGAATTATCTCAGATATATCAAAATATTCTGTCCCTTTCCATTATACAGGACATATGTCTATTTTTAAAGCTTTCAGAATTAGCACAGTAATTTCTGAGTTCGTACCAATATATCATGAAATCTATTAATTTTGACAGCCTATGAAAGGAAGCCACATTTTAACTTTCTCTTTAAAAAATGAATTGCAGCAGCCTCGTTTTTTTTTCTTTGAATAAATGAACTGGTAATTTAATTTATGAATTATGTAAAATATCAACCAGCTATTTCTGTATTGTTTGACATATGCAGTGCATTGGGATGTTATTCATGAATACGTTAAACTTTTAATATTAACTACTGACATGGAAGGGAAAAGATTGGACTAAAGAAAAGGAAATACTGTACTTTTTGTAAATCCAAGCATTACTTTACAGCCAACTTGGAAACATAGTGGAGTTCCAGTTGATTGTGCTCGCTGTTCTCATTTAAGCTTCTATAAAGTGGAATTAAAGGAAAGTAGAAAATAAAAACAAGATTGCTGAAAATAGAATGGCTTCAGTATAGTGACTAGTTATCCCTCTGGAATTTCAAGCAGAAATCTTTCTCAGCCCTTCTTGTAGGTGCCAAGGGTTGAAACTGGGATCTTCTGTGTGCAAATCATCTCTTCAGCCATTGACCTATTTTTAAGCAGAGATTTTTTTAAAGCAAAGAAAAATCAGAATCACTCAAATTAAACTCAACTCCAATAGTACAGAGCAATAGTATAGAGCTGGTTCTCTCTGCCTTTTTCTAACTTTCTGATGAAGTCTATAGCTCTAGGATTTTCTACCATCCCAAGACAAATCAGGGCAGACACTGCTTAGCTTTTTTCATCATTGGTTGTGATTGGCTTGGTGTTACACACTTATTATTTGAATTGGATGAATCATTTATCAAGAGAATTATCTAAATCTGCATGCTAATTATCTGCATATTAACACTCTACTGATGGCATTTAACTCTCTGTATATGATTTAAACATTAAGCAGTCTGGAAAAATATACCCCCTGTGCTGCTGACCTATATATTGTATTTTTCGGACTATAAGAGCGCTTCCCTCCCCAAAATGGGTAGAAATGTCTGTGTGTCTTATAGAGTGAAGTAATGTTGCTGAAACCTCGCCATCTGCTGGCCACCACCCTTCAGCCTCTGCCTCCCAGCAATTTGCCTCCTTGCAGCAAATAACCTAGTCAGCTTCAGCACAGCCTGATTTAACACGAGCAGTTGCATCTGTCTCCCAGAATACCAAAAATCAGCTGTCCCAGGCTGCGGGGATTGCCGCCTCTGTGCACCCCATCTTCGGCCTCCACACATCCTGTTTTCAGCCCATTCCAGATGGCGAGGATCGCCACCGCCGCCTATCCCCACCACTTAAAATGGGCTGAAAATGGGATGCATGGAGGCCAAAAATGGGGCACACCAAAAATGGGATGCACAGAGGCCGAAAATGGGGCACGCGGAAGCTGAAAATGGGATGTGCAGAGGCCGAAAATGGGGTGCAGGGAGGCAGCAATACGTGGCAGCGCCAATGGGCAGTGCCGATCCCTGCAGCCTAGAACAGGTGATCATTGGTATTCCGAGAGGCTGATCCAACTGCCAATCAGCTGCTTGTGCTAAATCAGGCTATGCTGAAGCTGACCAGGCTGTTTGCTGTTTGCTGCAAGGAGACAAATTGCTGGGAGGCAGAGGCAGGTTTTTTTTTCTTGTTTTCCTCCCCAAAAACTAGGTGTGTCTTATAGTCCGGAGCATCTTATAGTCCAAAAAACACGGTATGTTTCACTCTAGCAAAAAAACCAAAAACATTTTTATTATCTCCAATTTTCATCAGTTGCATACTCTGTGAGTTGTCAATCTCTAGGATGTCATGGAAGTAAATGTTCCCAGAGTGGTTTTCCTACCTTCCAGTACCAATGTAATGCCTAAATAATTGTTTGAGTGGATGTCCAGTTCTTATGTGCTTTATTCCTGTTCAAAGCAGGCAACCTACTGGGAAAGCAGCCTTTTGAAAGAGCATTTGGTTTACTATCCAGTACTTTTATCAGATAGATTAGCAACATGAAAGAAACAATAGATTATGGAGCAAGGTGAGTGAGTTAAACTTTGTACTTCAACTCTTTTTTCCAAATATGGAAAGGCAAACCAATGAGGGCAATCCAATCCTATTTTCTTTTTAGTTTTCTCCACCTGGGGCACTGCTACATGAAATTGGTGCATCCATTCAGAATCAAGCCTAGTTTTGCCTAGTTGTAAAGTTACCAAGGTTGGAGATCCCTGGTCTATAACAGCAAACCCTCTCATCGTCTGTCAATAATGATATCATCAGATCAGAGATTTTCTGTTTCCAGTTACGAGAGCCCTTAAATTGGGAAGGATAAGAAAGCAGTTACATCAATAAAAACCGTTCAAGAAGGTCTTGCTTAACCTTTTGCATTCAAAAGTTCTTTAGAATTGTAAAAACACATTCCCTGAATGTTTTGATGAGCATTAAAGGGGATACTATGGGATAGCACACAGTACACGGAAGCCAGTGGTAAGGTACAAAAATGTCAGCAATATGTCAAATTACTGTAATAAATGAATGTGCAAAACTCTGCTTATTGTTTTGTCAGGTAAAGGCATATTTTATACGGCACTTGAGAGCAGAAAATTTCTCCTCTTCTTGATTGAGAGATCAGCACACTTTACTTGTGCACATAAATAAACAGTACTTTTTTTTACTTCACCTTTCTGGCTCAAAGTCTATGCCAAGCCTGAATTTGGTTTACTGGTGGATTGGATTATATCTGGGTGATGAATTCAGTTTGACACTTAGAAACTGAAAGCAGGGAGAGCTGAGGTGGATGGAGTTCCAGCCAAAAGAACATAGCTGGACAATGAGTCAGCTGAGTTCCAACATCTGCCTGGCCAGAGGAAAGAGGAGCGAAGTTGCCAGGCAACCGTTCCACATCCCGGTT